GTTTGTTCATGTATGTTTTGTGTTTGTTGTAAAAATAAAAAAATATTTAAAAAAAAAAAGAGTTCAACATTCATATTTCTCATAAACTCAAGATGCAGAATAAAAAAAAAAGGAAATTAAATAAGTATGCAAAGTAGACAGGCACTTGATCAACAACATCTACATGCACTATGAAATACAGTACTAATAATATTTGTCAAGAACACAAACAATTCCATCTAATATAGAAATTTATAGGTCAGCCTTGCGCTCTCTAGCCTGATGCCAAAAGTCATGCTGGCTAGAAATTCTGAGAGTTATAGTCCAAATAAACCTGAAGGGCATCAAATTGGGTAAGACTGATATTACATTTTCCTAATAGTTGTTAAAAGAAGAATTAGAAACAAGGCAGAAGTAAATGGGAAAATACTCCACAAGACTTTGGGAGCAGAGAGTGGCCTACCCATGTGGTTATCTGCTAGAACTGGCTTATTTGCTAGAACTGCAAGCTGTTGTTGGATTTTCAAGAATACTGTTGGTTTAAAATCTATTCTGCTGTATTAAAAACAACTGCTTTCAGAATACTGATAGTTTTTATCTTTTTATTTTAGGTTTGGTGCATGCTGTTTGATGGATTTTAGCAAAAGGGTAATGTAAAACTGATAGTAAGACAAGCATGCAGCTAGTACTGGAAGATCCAATTGGCCATCCAATATTTCTCTTAGTGATGAAATCGACATCATTATGCTTGATGTCAGCATCATAAATACCTGATTCTTGCTTTTTTACAAAACAATCCTCTGCTGTTAGCTGTTCTTTCTTACTGCTCATTTCCAACTACAGAAGCATTAACTCATGAAAAAAAGTTTTGTATGCTTTCCCCATCAGTTGCAGTCATATACAGCAGGAAGTTCTTTAAGCCTTCTATAAAAGGCATTTGTATACTGTGCAATATTAATCAAAGTGTCACATGCTTGCTTTCTATGTCCTAATAACTATATCTTGTACTGTACTATTTACAAAGAAACATTTATGGTACAATATTATGATCAGAAGTCCAGATTAAGCTATCAGATTTATTTTCATTGAATGGCTCAGAGGAGAACGCTATAAGCCACAACAAATAAGATTTTTTTTTTTATTTCCACGTCATTACTGAACATTTCACATATACACAAATCCTCATATGCTGTGTGGGGCAATTTCTCTTCACACATCAGTCTCTGAAACACCATAACATTCCATTTTGACACACTTGCATATCCTACTCAAGGTATTTTTTTACCCTATGTATATACTTATATAGAAGGTAAACTGCAACCAGAATCTTTCTAAAATAGACTTTTAGGAACTCAGTAATGCTTCACTTTTGAGAATACACTTTTTGATATGAGGGTTGACGTTACAGACTAGTGTTTACAAATAGGCTAGACTTGTTCAGCCACTCCATGCATTTGATGAAGTGAGCTGCAGTTTACAAAAGTGTATCCCTTTTTAATAAAATCTGCTTGTTGGAAAAGGTGCTACCAGACTCCTTCTGATTTTTTAAGAATTAATAATATTATACTAAAAGAAAGCAGAGGCTCATATCACTATATATTAAAAAAGCAGATATCAAAAAAATCAATTTTACTTCCCATATATTGTTGCCTGCTTTATGAAATCAATGGTAGAGGTTCTCTTGTAAGCCTTGTCTTCAACTGAGATGTGCCTGGCACTCAAGAAAGACCCATTTCCATAATAAAACCCATATTGTGAAATGTCCTACAAACCTCATTCCCTTATGGGTTCTGCTGTCTCGCAGAAAACCTTTAAAAATCTTGGAAAAGCAGATGCAGATTCGTTATGTATGCCTCAGAACTAGAAACTGTCAGTTTTACAGGCATAAACGTTAGGACAGAATGGTTTCTAACAGCAGCTCTAGGGAAGAAATGTGTAGATGTCTGAAATCATCTACACAATGGTTATAAAATAAACCTGCAGTGCACTGAAAATACCAACTGAGCTTTCAATAGAAGGCAAAAAAATATTGGCCCCTCTAGTCAAGCATTTGGAAAGCTTACAGGCCTCAACTCGGGGCAATATCCCTCCTTCCACTGATGTTTCTCAGGAGCTAGTATTTAAGACAAATTTCCTATGATTCAGGAAGTAGTAAACATCCATTAACATTAGTAGACATCTCCCAAGAAGTTGTGCAATCCCTTCTGAAAGTGAAACTCAATGTGTGCTGAATACTCATTTTTATTTTAAGAATTTGTATGCCACCTTTCAAAATAAAAGTTCCCCTGTGATGGTACATATTAACTATTTATTGCCACTTGCTTTACAATGCAATACAATTCATTTGCTATTCTCTGTACAATGCGGCCATTAAGGATCCATCTCAGACATCTTAGAATGCAATAATCATTTCTAAGCCATTAATATAATAAATGGCTTAATAAATAAGTCACTTACGAGATCACCCATGCAATTTAGCTTCCTATGGGAGGACACTTAACTGAATGTTACATGAAGGAATGAGAAAGGAGAGGTTCTTGGCTGCCTCTTTCATATTATAAGTAACCAGCAGGCTTCAAGTAAAGTACTGTAAGCAGAAACTCAACATCTGGGAAGTTTCAGTATGCATATTGTTTATAAAAATAAACTTCTGACTAGCTATAAAGGGAAAATCCAACATTTTACAGGTAATAAAGGATGTAGACTATGAACTTAAAATCATGAAGAAGAGGAAGGCATTCCACGATATCCCAATAAATGAAATAATAAAAAGAAATTGTTAGATTAAGAATTAACGTAAAATAGAAAAGGCACTCATGGAGAAACCAGGATAGCACAAAGCCTACTATAAAAAGTAAAAGGGAATAAAAGCAAAAGGAACAAACATTCCAATACCAGGCTTGTTTTCAGAAGAACTAGAAGACAGTTTCACAGATTCTCCTCAATACTTCTGAACCTAGGAAGGAGGAGACACATTAAGAAGGTGGCAAAACACACTTACACATCACAAATGAAGACATTAACACGCCCCCCCCCCAACAAAGACAATTGGTGGGTGATACTGGGGGAGATGGGTGGCATATAAATTTAATAAATAAATAAATAAATAAATAAATAAATACATACTAAGGGTCACAAGAGAGGGTGAGGATCACTGGACTGCCTCTAGATACTACAGCACTACTGCTCTGCAGAACTGAACTCACTCTGAAGGACACTTATAGTAGCCTGGGCTCGGATCCACGTTATGGCAGGATTTTGCCTCAAGTCATTCCTTTTGGGATCGTTGCTGGCCCTGCACTCATATGTCCCAGAGTCTTCCAAGGTAAGACGAGTGATTCTCAGCACGCTCACGCCATTCACCCCGTAGGCAGTGTTAATGGCGACACGGTGCTTTCGAGCACCTTCCCATAGCTGTTTGAAAGATTCAGCCCGGTTGACTTCAGCATACCACCACTGGATCTCTGGAGTGGGGTTCCCAACCACGTCACAATACAGCTCAAAGGCGTCCCCTGTGAGTTTAGTCTCTGACATAGGCGACTTGACAAACCCAGCTAGAGGAAGGAGCAGCAGAAATGCCATGACAGATGAACAGAAGAAAAAAAAAGATCTTATAAAGCAAGCAAATGAATTGCAGAAACACAAAAACAAAACAAAAACAAAAGAGAGACATGCCCATCTACAACAGTGGTTATACTGTGACTTCGAAAGAAGCAAGCAAGTTTGGCAAAAAGCCAGGCTTTGGCGAGACAAGCCATCAGGTTTTACAGATTCAGTGTCTGTGACAGAAAGAGACTGCATCTAAAAACACATTATTTATTTTCTCTTTGTTACATCTAATAATAATTCCAAGGGAAGAGGTAAGAACTGGATTGAAATTTTAGCCTTATCAGGAATTCCTTTTACTAAAACTCAAATAATTTTCTTTTATTATCTCCTTTGGATTTATCACTGGGATTAGGAAAAGCTGTCTGTCATAACCCGTGCCCCACTAGGACTGTGCTTTGATCTCCTCTTATTTCAAGCCCAGGGTGATGTATGAAATTCACAAATAAAGTGACCTAAACGTCCTACAGCAGCCAACAGTTAAAGAAGTCTACGTTGCAATAGTCACAGAGTTATACTGATTAAAAACAAATGGACCACAAAGATCTAAAATCATGTTACTGTTATAAAATATATACACGTGCCAAATAACTATCATGTGCCAAACAGATCTCTATTTTCTTCCAAGCAGTTCTTCAGAACAGAACCAGCATTGTCAATTCCTTTAAACTTGTATTTTTCAACCTCTGGAGATGAAATAGCCCAAGTGGGATGTGTGGTTTTTTGTAATGACTAACATTTCATTTGCTCTCGATCCATGGCCAACTACAAGCATGAATTTCAGATCAGCAACGCTTCCCTCTTCCTCTAATAGTTTTTCGTGTTGTTTTCCTTACTTCTCAACAGCTTTGGAAAAGCAGCAAAGTAAAAAAAACCCAAAACTGGGTAATGGGTGCATTCAGTTCTAGATACTATCTCTCTCAATCATAGT